GGTCCCCGGGGGGGACTCGCAGGGGAGTCACAATGGGGAGGTTCTGCCCCCTCTTCCCCCCCAAAATCSCTCCGTGTCCCGCACGCCCGAGGCCGGATCCAGCATTCCCCTTGGGAATGCGCAGCCGGGATTTCAGGAGAAAGCCCTGGAAGTGGCCGCTGGGCTCTTTAACCCCGGGAACCCCGGGCAGCAGCTGCGGCTCAACCCCGGGAAGCTCCGGCTTCCTGGAGAGCAGCTGGAGCAGGGCAGGATTTGGGGGTGGGAGGGGGAGCCTGGAGCGCCGGGAAGCGGCTGGGAATGTCGGGAAGAGCCTGGGAATGTCGGGAAGAGCCTGTCAGGTGTGGGATTTGCAGGATCGATCCCGTTCTCGGTGGCTCCGGCGGTGACAGGGAGTTCGTGCCTCTCCTTGGAGCTTTTCCCTCTGAATTCCCCCATCCCTGGAAGCGTTCCAGGCCGGTTTGGAGCGACCTGATCCAGTGGAATATATCCCTGGATCATCCTTAAGGTCCCTTCCGACCCATTCCGTGATTCCCTGTGGGAATCCGCCTCTCCCGGGGGCTCCCAAACCCCTTCTCCCTCCCCATCTCGTGGCCATTCCCGATCCCTGGGATCGGAATGATCCTTCCCGCTGCTTCCCGTTAACCCTCGGGATGTTTTTACCGCATTTTGGGAACGACTCGGGATTCCCAAACCCTCCTCAGCCGCGTTTTCCATCCCCACCTTCCCACCCTTTAACTCATCCCAACCCCCTTCCCGACATTCCTCCTCTCCGGCTCTGGATTTTCCCAAATCCATTTTATTTCCACTCCAACGAATCCCTGGAGTCATTTCCCTCCCCTTTCCCACAAAACCCGTCGTGGGGAGGTGGAAGAGGGGATGTTTTTCTCACTTCCAGAGGGAAAAGTCGTGCCAAGAGCTCGGGGTGGGAGGATTGGGGTGAAAACTCGGGACCAGCCTGTTCCCAAACCTCCAGAAATCCCTTAAAAACACCCGAGGGAAGCTGTTTTTTGGGAGGAATTGCATGTTATTCCAGAGGCACTTCCCCCCCATCCTGCAGTGGACACAGGTATCCATGTTTTGGAGATGCTTTGTGTGGAAAACGGGAGTCACTGGTTCCACTCTGGACATTTTTTGGCTTCTCCTCCTTCCTTTTCCTCCTCTCT